ATTTTCCCGCCAAAACTTTGAGGCGCTCGTACGCGAGGCCTAGACGTGCTTGAGGGTTGGTACCGCAATCCTGGGGTGGCACTTCGCCGGAAACCCACTCGCAAAATTTTGGGGGGAGAGCTTGCTTGGGTGCCGAGTTGAAATACCCGGAGAGACGCGCGCGCATACACACACACACACGCACACACACACACGCACACACACACGCACACACACACATACACACAAACACACACACACCGGGGTCGTCACAATATATGTTTTTGCATATTATGTAAAAACGCATGAAAATGTATGTTTTTTGTATGTATTTCCATATAACGTGCAATATGCACCTTATCTTTGTTTTTGCATGGCGACGACGGGAGGCGGCGAGGAGCAATAACGAAGTCCTTCGGCCAGCCATCATTCGGCGAGAAACGGCAACGACGGGCGGCGGCGAGGACAACAACAGCCGGCACAGGACGTCGACTGCACTCCCACCCGATTTTTTAGTTTTGTATTTCGATTAGTATAATATATGTCATTTATTACGTGTTCGCGCATACGTACGCGTTACGTTTGTTCGATTTTTTATCATTTCTTGATAAAGGTTGTATTACTCAAGTTTGGGGGTATAAGGACGATACGAGCCGACGAATCGAGTTCAAGGAATCGAAGGAGCCGACGGACCGTGCTCGCCAAAACGAAGTGAAGAAGGAGCTCACAAGCTGCATTCGCCAAACAATCAAAGAAGGGCCGACGTATTGCGCCCAATTAAGGAACTTGGGCTACTGTTACTACAGGCCATTCTACTGGCTTAGAACTATATTTATTTAGTATAAATTCTTTGGAGCGGACAACCAGAAGAGCTATGGTGGCAAGGAACATCAAGCTGGGAGAAGGGACTACTGTCCACGACACATAGGTACGCATGGCGTATATTCATTTATCTATGGATGTGCTTTATTTGAATTTAACAAGGTCAAAATTCAAAAAATTCTCCTATCCACTCTCTGCGACAGGCAGGAGATGCAGCCTCTCGAGAAGTGTGAACGAACAGTTCAAATCAAATTTAAAAATTATATGCAAAACAAAAGAAGCTACCCTGCCCACAAATATTATCCAGAAATTGACCAGAGGTAACTTCGAAGAAAAGTTAAGACTTATTTTGATTACCTGTGGCGCTACAGTGCCTTTGCTGACATAGCGATGCTTGAATCACAGAAAAGGATGTTAATAGATAGCAACGCGCACCAGACTAGCCGATGCGATCACGCGTTTTGTGCAATTCGGCCCATCGAACGATTGCCTATTAATGAGTTTAACTGCTTTATACTTTAGTCTGTGCAAAAATAATTAAACCATTGAAAAATAGTTAAAAATTTCACGCACCGGCGCACGAGAGTTGAATTTGAAACCATGAAGAGTGAATATCCTTCCGTGATTCTTAAAATAATAGTTCACCTGCCAAAATTTTCACGAGGCTTTAAGTGATACCCGAGAGCGCGAGGACGCTGAATTTGAATTAGTAAGGTGGTACGTAGGCGAGGGGTGACTGCCCCAAAATTTCAGCTTTTTAGATGTTGTGATTCGCGACACAATAGTTTACCCGCCAAATTTTCACTGGCCGGTACGTGATACCAGAGAACGCGAGGACGCTGAATTTGAATTTGCAAGATCGTTCGTGGGCAGGGGACATTACCTTAAAATTTCAGAAAATTTCAGATTTTTAAAATTTCAGATTTTCCTAGATTCTGTGGTTACCGAGATAATAATTTACCCGCAAAAACTTTCGAGAGACCGTAGGTGATACTCGAGAGCGCAGGAACGCTGAATTTGGATTTGCAAGGTCATGCTTGGGCAGGAGCCACTGTATCAAAATTTTAGCTTTCTTGACCCCGTGATTCCCGAGACAACAATTTACCCGTCAAAAATTTTCACGAGGCCGTACATGTTACCCGCCGGCAGAGTAAAGCTGAATTTAAATTTTCTGGGTAGCACATGGGTGGGAAACACGCCCACAAATTTCCAGCCTTCCAGCTTCCGTGATAATAATTTTACACGCTCAAACTTTTACGGGGCCGTACGTGTTACCCGCGGGTACAGGGTGGCTGAATTCAAATTTGCGAGGTCGCATGTGGGCGGGAAAGCTTCCTAGCTTTTGTAGTTCTCGGGTTGAAAGCTGCGGTTGAGTTGCTGCAGGCACACACACGTACACATGCACAAACACACACACACACACACAGACAACTCCGTGACAATATGCGTTTTGTGCTGCTGTTACACAACACAAAACGCATGAAAATTCGGTTTTTTACGGCTGAAAGGAATTTCGAGGTTTAGGAAAGCAGCGAACCCAAGAAAAACCACTTGGAAGCTAACCAAATCAAAGTCAAAACTTCTGTAAACACTCTCCGAATAAGGCGGTTACGTTTGAATGTAGCCTGAGTGGTAGCAAGCGTCAGCAACATTTACAAAGATCCAGATCGCTACGTTTTTTAGAGCTGCTCGGAAGCAGACTGTTGGCAATTCTGTCTTCTCAGTATAAATGATAACTCGGTAAGAAGAAAATTTAACTTAAAAGTTTTCAAAATTGTCTGTTCAGTTTTTACTCGAATGCTTCATGAGAAGAGGAAAAGCCACTAGTCGAGAAAGGCATTTTCAAACAGAAAACCTAAATTCACTTTTGAGAATGTGGAGACCCAAATCTTAACGACATACGCATAATATTTATTAGAAATACACAAAAATTAGTTTGAAAGTGAAAAATTGCGTTAAAAAAAACTAATAAATTGACCCAGAAACGCTAAATTTTACAGAAAAAGTACATACCCAAGTGAGGCAAAAAGTGAGAAAGAGGATGTTAGCTCAAGCAAAAGAGGGGAGAAACTGAGGTACGTCATCCCTCATTGCGAATCTGTATTCATCACTGCTATAACAGATCGCTGAAACGGAGAAATCACACAAACTAACAATTTACTGATGATATGTAAAGAAACAATGCAACCCATAGGCAGCAAAAAAGATCATCAATTCGAGAAGATGGCTGATGTGATAAGCGTAAACTGAACAAACGAATCCAACTAGAGGAAGCGTACCAGATGATAAACGGTGCCAAACGCGGAGCGCCTGCACTACAGATCCTAAAAAAGTAAAAAACAATTAATACAAATCAACCGATCAAAAATGCAACCACATGATAAACAATGACGTAATAATACCAAGACTATTCGAAAAATCATTCTAGATATCCCACGTTAGTGATATTACTAGGATACTTCCACTTGCCGGCACCACAACGAGGCCTTCGACCCAAGGCTGCATACTTCCAGTTAGTATCCACTGCTTATTCAATGTATATGCGCCATCCCTGTGAGAGCTTCCTGAGTGGTCACTTATTTCCTCTCGCCCTCCACTCCCTAATGCGTAATTTTGTAAAAAAATGAAAGGATACATGTGAAGCCCACAGTGCTAGTGCACTAGTCGCGCGTGTATCGATATGAATGCAAAAAACTGTCGAAACTAACACGAGAAACCAGATTACAGGTAATATGTAAACAAAGTTCGTGTAGCAGCAACTGATATAAGTAAACACCTAGTGTTGCTCGTGTAATGTTCGAGTGATGCACACTTCTCAACGGTGCCCACCCACTTATATAAGTAACGACCGTTTCTGGGTACATATATAAGTAACGACCGTTTCTGGGTGCCTGAATATTTGCGTAGATTACTTGTAATGATGAGCCACTGCCTCACCGACTTCAAGTAACGGCCAAAAGATTTTCGTGTAACACAGCCCGATCGCTCCTAACGTATCAATCATATGTGTGTTGATGCGAATGTATAAAGATTGTCCGTCTTTCACTTATTTCTCTCTGTCACATCACTGTGGTCTTTCTGTGCAGATAAACAGAAAGACTTAATGAAGAAGAGGAATGGCATGCATTAGCACAGTATCCTCATCGGCCACTTGAGCAGACGTGAATTACTGGTTTAGGGGAAAATAGGGGAAAGAGCATGGGACAAACTGCTATTCGGTTCAGACTTCCGATAATTTTTTTTTTTCAGAAACTGTAACCATTTTCGTGAAATTTTAAACGTACAATCAACAGAAAATTTATTTTCGTCTACAGGTTCCATCCACTGCCACAAAAGCTTGTTAATCGAGGAAAGAAAAGAAGAGAGAAGCAGATTAGAAAAGAAACTCAGATTACATAGAAACAAATAAAACTTAAACCTACTTAAATCTGCATATATTTTTGACTTTCAAACTTTTTGTCACGATTTTTCCACAGAATTATTGCTTTTGGCAGAAAAATCCCAGATCCGTCATTTTTCAAAAGCAAAACCTAATAAACTTTTTAATGCTGAAAGACTTGATATAGTCGAAAAAGGACTTTCAAACTTTCGCGTAAGCCAAAATAAAACAGCCCCTCTACAACTGGATTATTTGTTTCGATGACAGATTGGTAATAGCGCTTGCTAGGGGAACAAGACCGTCATCAGCTTGCTTCCAAGCAGTCTTCGGAAAAGTGAGCCATCGAAACCCTCGTCAACAGAAGATTGCCGTTGATACGCGCCACTACGTGAGCTACTTCCAGATGCCTCATTACCCAAAGAGACTGAATTACGATGGCTTTCACAAGTAGACGAACCTATTTCCATTACGACCCGTGATTTATTTCAGATCAGCAACCATTGTAGATGGATTTTCCAGATACCGTTTAACTAGGCTACTAAAACGAGCTATCGTTGCACCATCAATAATCCGGTGGTCGGCAGCCCATGAAAATTTCACCACGTTTACTCCATGGATCTATAAAAAGTATGGGTTATATTTTTTGACATTTTAGTCATCTGCAGTGCAAAACCTATAGATTATTATGGGGTACTTAGGACCGAAAAAATGGAAGCGGTTCTAAGCTAGCATCGATGGCGAAAACGATCGAACCCATGATGCGGCTTACTTACTAGAACAACCACTGAATTACCTTTAAAGAGCTAAGTAAAATCTCGGATCATGCGGAACAGCTAGCTGCATCGATGGCAAAAATGACAACGCAAAAACTAACACTTCCATCCTCACCAAATCGTGGTAGCTTTGAGATCTGGCCAATTGCACCGATCGCAACTTGTGGCGGCATAATTACTGGGTTACAGTAAGTGCCACCGATCTGCAAATACAGTAAACCCTTAAGATGCAATTTACAAGTACACGCCACAGACGTCTAGAAAAGGGTGTTCCAAGCGCTGCTTTGCAAGCTATTTTTTTTGAGAAACTAACACACACAAAAAATGACTGTTTAGGGACGAGTAGTTTTTTAGGTTTTTCTTATCACCTTTTTTGAGAAATGCTAAGGAAAGGAAGAAAGAAAACAGTAGCTATGATGGCGACGACAACGAAAACGCCGAAACTGTACTCTCGACCTAGCTGAGGGTTTCTGAGAACATGAACACACCCTTCGCCGAAAAAAGCAGAAAGCTGATCTTCGCCGCCGAGCCTCGCGCCGCTGTTGGTAGTATCTGCAGCTACCTCAGCTTATTGTCATCATAAGATCCATGACTAAAGAGGAAGGAAATTTCCAGGGAATGTTACGAAAATGCCCCGTTCTTTTTGCATAGAAAATAGTTTGCAACTGCCATTATCTCAGCCAATAATGGACGACCATAAAAACCTCCCGTTAAAGCTCGTGATCCTGGCCCCAACAAATTTTCTGGTACTCTGACTGGAGCTTTCCCGAATGTTTATCCAACTTCGTTAACTAATACAACAGCTCTTTCTCTTTGCTAAATATGTCACGACATATTTAAGCTTTCTCGTTTTCTTCCCACTTTTCTTTGATGTTCGGCTTCTTCTTCATGCTTTATTCTTTCGTGTTTTCCCTCTCTCGTAGTTGCTTCAAAATTTTGAATCGCATCCGCCATGCTGACGAAGTCCAGTTGTATGTTGGGTCAGTACAGTAGATGAACCGAAAGATATTACCTCTTCACTTTCTTAACATTTTTGGCGCCCTTCTTCCTTACTTCTTCGGTTTGATTTGCGATTCAACGCCCACCCTCGCTTTTGAGTTTTGTCAGCAGCGCATCTAGGCTTCGACGAAGGCAGGTGCGTATTCAGATTTATCTCATTTCATTGAGCACATCAATACTTCTCTCATGCAGATCTAATTTTGCTTTTTATTTATTTTTATGCGTTTTATGCTGTGTAACAGCAGTACAAAACGCATATTGTCACGGGGTTGTCTGTATGTGTGTTTGTGTGTGTGTG